TTATCATTTCACGTGTTTATTACTTAATTTTTCATGTGTTCAGATCTTGTGTTTGAACTGGATTGTAGACTTCCAAAGCGCAGGGACTTCTCCCCATCCGGACTCCCCCACGGCAGCTGCGTCCGGTGCAGGATCTGGGGTCACCACGTCCCTGCGGTTCGGTGAGCGCTCACCGGACTTGCCGTGAGCGCCTGTGATTGGCTGCGTTGAAAGCGCCGAGCAGAACTGGGGGCACCGAAGGGCGGCAGCTGCCTTCCGGAGGGGGTAGGTGGGCCAGACGCACGGTTTCTCCGGCACCGGCACCGCGTGGCCGCAGCCACACCTCCTGCGGCAGTCTGCTTCTTAGCGACTGTGCAGTTGGTTACATCTGAATTTCCCCGTATTAGGATAGGTTTTAATTTACCAGTTCTTTTCTTCTTCCCCCATTTATTTTTAGTAATTGCATTTTATTTAGTTTTCCGTAATGAGCCGAGTGAAAATCGGTTGTGGTAAATAAATCATGTGCGGGGGAAAGCAATACATGATCATTAGAATTCCGCTATCATTTAATTAGGCATTCCATTATTGAATCGGTGTCTCTGGCTTCTCCTGGTCTCTGGCTAATCTCGAAACAAATCCTTCTTTGTGGACAAATATTAGCCCGTAATAATTAGAGTAGTCATCTAAGCTAAGGCTTTTCATTAAATCTCTTTCTGATTAAGATAGCTCCCCAAGTACAGGCTGATTTAATTTCATATGATTTATCCACTTTTGTATTAAAGTCTGCTGGAAATTGTTTCTACAGCAGAGGATTAGGAATATTAAGGCCATCTCTGTGGTCACGGATCTTTTTTTAACTCCTTGGACTTGACCGGTTTTGCCTCCTCACCTGTTTCCTTCTTTCTGCTTTTCCTCTGGTTTTCGATGACGGACACTGAATTCTGTTCCTGGTCTTTTCCCTTCTGTCTTAATCAGTTTCCCCCACACTCCTCCCCCCTTTACTTGGCCCAGCCGCACCACTTGCTCGTACACTTTCCAGCCTTTTTCTTCCGACCCTTTTGTCCCGGTTTTTGTGTTCATGTCTTGTCCGTTTCATCCTTCTGCCTTCCCCACTCTGTGTGCGTGAGTTTGCTTTACTGTCTGCACGTGAATGACTGAAGCTACGTGAGTTAGTCATACGAAGTCAAAGAATGTATTCTAACTTGCTACAGCCAAAATACCTTGACACTATTTTTTGTGTGACATCAGGGAAGTCCATTATGAGCAGAGAGGACGAATAGACATTCTCAGTTGAAGAAGAGCGGGGATGCCAGGGGAGGGGGAGGGCATTTCTGCCCCCTACGAAACACTCTCTTGTGAGGGCAGTGGTACGCTAGGAACCTGAGGCAGCGGTGGGGCGAAGGCCGGCGGAAGGTGTTCCGAAGTCAGGCCTGGGCGCTAAGGACCTCAGACCAAGTCAGGCTGAGACTCCTAACAGGTCTGGGCAGGGATGCAGGGGCTTGAGCAGCCGTGTCCGTCAGCAGAGGGGGTTGTCAATGGGCCGGTTAGGAGGGCGCAGGAGCTGAGAGGGGGGAGATCTGTGACTGGGGAGAAGCTGCGGTGGCTTGGGAGGAGACTCCCCACCCCCACCCCGGGAAGAGGCCAGAGCAGAAGCGGGAGGGTGGCTGTGTTAAGGGAGGTGGCCACTCCCAGTGGCAGAGTGCGGTCTGCATGGATGGCAGTGCCAGCTCCGAGAGAGTGTTTTCCAGCTATTGGGAACCTCACGGTTCTCAGGGACGGAAAGGAAAAAGTAGCACAGTGGAGAATGACAAGGTGTTGGCTGAGGAATTGGGAGTTCTATTTAAAGACGGGTTTTTGAGAACTGATGAGGAAACAAGTGCCCCTGCAGTGGTACCTGACTTGAAGAGGAGGCTGCGTCCCAGCATGCATAATGAAGTGGCCTCCTCATCAGGGGGAAGTGATGGAGACAGTACTCGGTACTGCAGTTCAGACTTCCAGGTTAAAGACGTTGGCAAATCTGCCGTAAATAGAAAGTATTCAGGCACCTGTGTAAGGATTTAGAGTCCTTATCCCAGTCAGTCGTCCCAGAGCCCCATGAGGGGAGGTACTGTTGCTGTGCCCGTGAACAGATGGGGCTCAGAGTGCACGCGTCAGGGTCATGGCCGATAGGGGGCAGGGCCAGGAGCTGTCTGCCCCCACCTTTTGTTCCAGGAGGATCCAACTGACACAGAAGGAAAGAGGGGGAGTGTTCCTGGTAGGAAACAGTGGTATTTACAGTGGTATTTTCTCTGACAAAGAAGACGGTGCTGTCTGAGCCTTATAATAGCAGCTGATTTTAAGTGGCTCATGCGTGCCCTTTTATTCTGAAGCTTGAAGGTGTCTTATTCATTGGTATTTTTAGTCTAAATCTGTCCAAATCTGTCCATCCAAAACTGTTCCTCAAAGTGTACTGAGTGGTGCCGATTCGTCACGCTTCTTATTAGCCACCTACTATTATTATATGTCAGTGTCAGAGGGTCACAGTGAGTAATTGTGCAGTTACCAAATCCAACTTTTATCCAAGTGGGGTAATTTTCTTTTTTAATCTTAAAAACAGTGCACATATCTGAGAAACATGCTAACCTCTTACCTGAGTGTTCATCATTTTCCTTTCATGCAAAGCATCCTAGATTACATGCTACTTTATCTAAAACAATAACATATTATATTATTAATATGCAGTCAGATTTATGGATCTGGGTGTGGCTAATAGAAAATAGGCTTAGAATTTTTAATTTTTTAAGCAGGCATTAAAATGAGATCCAAAAAATTACATTTTTGTATATTCAGCATACATTTAATTATGGAACGGGGAAAATTTCTGTTCTTATCAAAATTTGTAGATCACTTTGGGTTAAAAATAAATTTAATAGCTTACGTCTCTTTTATCCTGCCACTGAACTATATACTTGGATCTGACCTTCAGCAGCCATGGGCAAACCAGGGTTTCTTCCCTCGGTTCTTTCATCTTAAACACACAGATGTGTCTGTCTTTGGCTGTGGCCCATTCCCAGGGAGCTCTTCACATCGGGCAGGATTCTCCCAGTAAACACGGGCTCCACCTGACAAGCCTGGAGACACTCCCTCCGGTAGTTACATTTGCAAATTCCAATCATATCTTTTCCACTTCTCGTGGTTAATGACATATGATGAACGTATTGAGAATCCCCTCAGCTTCAGTCCGAGACTAAAAATTAAGATCTGAAACACACGCATTGAGCAAGTGCTCATTCTGTCCCCCCAGGGAGAAAAGAAAAATCTGGGGACCCCAGTGAGCATGGTGGTCCCAAGGGAATGGTGGCTTCACACAGTAGTCGTACAATATGAGCCTTTCCACACTTACCGTATCCGAGACAGAACAGGTCCTGTCCAAACCCGGATCAGCAGGTGACAAGGGTCCAGACAGCATTAGATTTGTAATTTAAACTATGCAAAGCAGTGAGATCTTTTCAAATGGCTTTTACTGAGGGTAGCCACTTCATTTGCATATTTAAGTGGATTATTTTCATACTAAAAGATTTAAAGACAGTATAAATCCTTTGCAGTTGCAAGGATTTCTCTTTTCTGAATCTTTTAGTTCCACTATATATTGGTAAATGAAATAAAGGCACATCTCCGCTTTTGAATATTCATTTCATTGTTGTCCCTTACATGTGAACCAAGCCCGGGTCAGCCACACCAACCCCTTCCCTGTTCTCCTCCTAGGGGGAGGCCAGCACTACCCCAGGCTAGAGTCCCTGGGGCCGGGGTCACTGCAGGGTGAGAGGAGGAGTCAGCTCTCCTGCTGGCAGTGCAGAGTTCCCTGCGGTGCTGAGTGGTCCGGAGACCTTTGTTTACTTCAAGAAAAGTTTGAAAGTTACCAAGACAGCCAACTGGCTCCCTCGTGGATAAAAACCTTCCTCCATTTCCTCCTCTTTGGCTCTGGTGTTTCTGCCACTGCCTGCTCTTCGTTTCTTGCCTGCCCTGCCTTGTGATGACCCTCAGGCCACTCTGCCTGCCTCTCTTGTCCTTGGTCCTCTCTAAGCCATTCTTGTCGTTGCCCTCAAGGCAAATCTTGCTAAAATGAAACCATCTGATCCCTTTTCTGTTAAAACTCCTGAAGTGGTGCTGCACCATCTGAGGGGCTCCTCTGCCACCTACAGCGTGGAGTTCAGACTCCCGCTGAGTTCAGACTCTCGGTGAGGCCTCTCCTGTGTGCCTGCATCCTGCTGGTGGGCTCTGCGCTCGCTGGAGGGGAGGCGCACTCTGCCCCTGGGCAGCCTGCTCCCTCCCCCTCCCTGCCCCTCCTGGTGCTCTGTGGTCTGTTTAGGGCTCTGTGCCTGCCTGTCTCCCTGGTTCGGTCCCAAGCTCCTGAGCGAGGTCAGCCCCCCCCCCTTTGTCTCCAGCATCGAGCACATGACTTTGCTGGAAACACCTCCCAGGTAATGTATCTGCACGTACTGAGGATGATGGTGATACCGAGCCAGGGTCTTACTCGGACCTCCTGTGGATATGTTTTTAAAAATTAAAAAATCACAAAGTTTTCATGGGTTTCTGACCATTTCATCAGGTCGGATTCCGAATTTTTCTTCCCATTAGCTGTCATGGTAATATTGGGTTAAAAATGAGAAAGCATGTGTTTTATTTGGAGAGAAGGGTGTTTGAATAGGGACCTCGAAGCATGAATCCTATTGGTGTAGAAGGGCTGGTCCTGTGCCCTTTTATTCCTGTCTCAGATCCGACTTAGGTGCTTATTTAAGTTCTAGAATGCAGATTACTGCTTGTACAAATGAGGATGATTGCTTTCTGAAGGTCCCTGTGGTCATTTAGCACGCAGGTGAGAAACCCCCAGTGACTGGTAAGTGCTGACCCAGGTGCCCAGGAACACCAGTCTTCACAGCCCTGTCTGCTCCTCACGGTGCACTGTGCTCCGACTCCCCCTGGCTCTGGCCCTGCCTGCAGTGTGAATCAGCCCTGCTGCCTTCTCTCTCTTCCAAACCTAGGCAAGAACCTGGACGCCGTGCACGACATCACGGTGGCCTACCCGCACAACATCCCTCAGACGGAGAGGCACTTGCTGCACGGCGACTTTCCCAGGGAGATCCACTTCCACGTGCGCCGCTACCCCGTGGACAGCCTGCCCGCGGCCAAGGAGGACCTGCAGCTCTGGTGCCACAAGCGGTGGGAGGAGAAGGAAGAGCGGCTGCGCTCCTTCTACCAAGGGGAGAAGGATTTTTACTTCACCGGACAGACCATGATTCCGCCTTGCAAGTCTGAGCTCAGGGTCCTTGTGGTCAAATGTCTCTCTATACTGTACTGGACCCTGTTCAGCCCTGCAATGTGCCTGCTCATCTATTTGTACAGTTTTGTCCGGTGGTATTTTGTCATCACCATTGTCATCTTTGTACTGCAAGAGAGAATTTTTGGTGGACTGGAGATCATCGAGCTTGCATGTTACCGTTTTTTACACAAACAGTCACAGCTAAATGCAAAGAAGGGTGAGTAAGATCAGGTTCACAGTGTAACAAGCTTGGGAGTACTTGGGAAGTGTTGTAAGCCTTTGCAAACCAAGATGCGTTTTTGCATGACGACGTCAAATATTTCTTACTACCATCATTATTTGTTAAAGATACTTTGCACTTAGTTTTGTGAGAAAATACTGCTACACACATTTTTTTCCTTAAATCTCTGAATGTAATTTCAGCACGCATAGCGGGGAGCAATCGCTGTGACCTAACTCGGGCCAGAGTATTCTCAAACAACCGCCAGGCTGTTCACAGACAAGGCACACACGAGATTTTCCCGGGGCTCTGTCCTATTTCCTCACTGACGCCCAGCCCAGACGCAGACCTGGGCTTCCGAGCACCGGCCCAGCTCAGAAGCTGGCACTCAGCTGTCCTCAGTCAGGGTGAGGGCCCCCCTCTCGCGCCCGCCCTCCCTTCCTCCCTCCCTCCCTCCCAACTCCTCTGTGTCAATCACACCACCGCATCCTTCCTTAAGACCAGAAAACAGACGTCTCTTGTCCTTAAACTGACCAAACGTTTTAACAGGAAGACCACCTGTGCCCTTTGCTCACGTGGAAAAGAAGACCTGGACGCGACTCGGGGCAGCCTCAGGCTCCCACCTGGAAACCTGAGCTTGAAGTTTTAAAGACAGGAATTAATATGTTTCAGTTCTACTTAATCTCGCATGCCTAGTGCTGGCGTCTTCACGGCGTGTGGGCAGGTGTAGCCCCTTCTGTGTTAAAGACAGTAAAAACCACTTACTTTTTTAAAGGAAAGCATGGAACATTCTGTTATTGCAGTCAGAAACTCTCCTTTGAAGTTGTGTCTTTTGAAATATTTCTGTGAAACCTGCCCCGAAAAGGAAGGGGAGTGTGTTTTCTCCGCGCGAGTGGCGCCCTCCCTCCCACCACTAGAGCAGCAACAGCAAAGCAGCAGCAAAGTGGCGCCTGCAGACGGGCGGCCGCGGCGCCCTGCCAGTCAGCCCTCGCAGCCCCCGCAGCGCTCACCCTGCGAAGCAAACGAACGCAAAAGCGGGTCCTTCTTTTCCAGTAATGGGGAGGGAGTCTCATTTTTAGTGCCAGGCTTCCTCCTTCAATAGTAAAATTTAAACATTCCTGGCCAGTAGTTCACCTACATATATAATCCCTGTTATTTGGAGTCAGTGGAAAATCCAGCAAACCAACGGCGCCGACCTCCTGCTGAGGCACAAAAACTGCGTGGTCATTTCCACCCTGCGGAAGGCCGGGCTGCTTTTTTGGTGACGTGACGAGGATGCTGGTCAGAGCAGCAGAAAATCCGAGGCCATTAAAAGTCTTTAGCCGTCAGCAGACCTGCCAGCTGCACTCCCGCCTGCACCAGCCTCAAAGCCACTAACTGCTTCCTGCACTGCTCTGGCCTGAACGCCTTCCCCTGCGTTACATCTCATTTTTGCTGCACACTGACTTTGACCCAACAGTGGAACGCGAGTTGCCGTGAAAGGTGAGCACTTTGTGAGCTGAACTTACCGGGCAGCTTCTCTCAGAAAGTGCTGTTTCCGGCAGTTGCTGTTGACACGCCGCCCCTGTCGGAAGAGGACTCACCAGCACTTCCACCCCACGCGCCCGCTCACAGGTAGCTGCACCCTGGAGGCTGTTTGTAATCCTGCTGGGAGCTACTCATCGGTTATTAGGGACATCTGCTGCAAACGCAGCTGTAGGACGATAGGTTTTTTAGGGTGTATTTTTTAATTTTATTTTTTTCTTAATAAAGGAGGTTTGTGATTTAGGTTTCTCTCAGACCTCCTTCGGTTAAGTTTGGAAACACAGAAACAGTCTTAACGCCCAGGAATGCATCTGTCCTGGACGCAGGAGGAGAGCCGGGTTCCCTGCCCCGCAGGTGTTCCCGCTGAGGCCCGCCCTTCCTCCCGCCTCGCAGCCCACAGCTCACGGTCTGCGTCCTCTTTCCCTGTCGGAGCGGCACGAGGGAGCATCTTTTCTCTTCAAAAATGTTTTCTGATCATGTTTTATTTTAAGATAAAACGCAGACTTTTTTTTTCCTTACCTACCCAAAATTCATAAACACTAACACTGGGGAATGGAGAGAGGATGTGCTTCCTATAAGAATTAGAAATAACGTCAGAAAGAAAAAAGTTGCTTATGTGTTTTCCTACACATGTGTACTTTTCTTATTTTAAACAAAATTTTTGAAAGGAATAATGCAGTTCATGACGCGAACGCTATCTAAAGTCGGTAAGATGGTATCGGGAGCTAAGCCAGCTTCAGCGCGGCCATGGGCCTCAGCAGGGGCGCCTCCACGCCTTCCGGCCAACGCTGCGGACTCGGCTGCTGCTGGACGCACTCCTGACGCCCGCCAGGCCTTCGGAGGTCGGCTCACAGCCCTGCGTCCGATTGCTGGATCTTTACCGTGCGGGGATTTTTTAAAATATATTTTATTGATGATGCTATTACAGTTGTCCCATTACCCCCCTTCACTCCCCTCCACCCTGCACACCCTCTCCCACCCACAATCCCCCCCTTTAGTTCATGTCCATGTGTTGTAAGTTCTTTAGCTTCTACATTTCCCATGCTATTCTTGCCCTCCCCCTATTTTCTAAATACAGCGAGCGTGGTGGATCTAGGACCTAAACCCTCACACTGAGAACAGGACCCCGCAAGGAGGGGCGCTGGTCAGGTCGCACGTTCTCCCAGCAAACATCTCCCACGAAACCAGCCACAGGCGCTGGGAGGTTCGGGAGGAGAACGCGGTGAAAGGCTAAAAAGAGAAACAGGTGGTAGAGCCTTCAATGTAAAACTACGAACATCCTTCCCTGTTCGTCACATGTTAAAACACAGCCAGGGAAAGTAGCAGCCTCCTCCCCAGTCGCTGGGAAATCGGTTCCTCCCGCAGCGCCACGCCAGAGACCGCACGTGGTGGGGCGGAGCCTCGGTGCTTGCCTCGCCAGGACTGTGCGCCCTGGCCGCGACCATCACGCCCGTGCGTGTCCGCTAGAGACCCTGGTGGAGGGAGACTGTTGGTGTTCAATTGTTTACATTTCTTTATATAAATAATGTGCTTTCAGTGCCTTAGTTACAGGTCCCTTTCTTTTACTTGTTCCAAGAATTCTGCAGCGTGTTTCCTGGCTGAAAGTCTCCTCGCTGCCCTCGGGGAGCTGTTCATGGACCGCTGGGCACTGCGGTAAACACTACTTCTGATGCCGTTTGGAGAGGGGCGCGCGGCGCTGAGGCAGCGGCTGCCTTAGCGCCCTTAGGTGTGAACGCCAAGGGTCTAGTCACGGGGGGCACCAGACTTGGTACGGCCTGAAAGTGGTCCTGTGCCAACCTTACGTTTTTATTTCGGAAGAGAATCTTAGTTTTGGTAATTTGTTTTTTAAAGGATCATTATGTGCAAAACACCAAATTTTAAAAATAACTCACAGAATGGCCTTAGTTTTCAATGTCCACTGGTATGTTTGTGAGTTGTGCTATCTGTAATGTAAACCCCAGAATAAAGTGGAGCAAACTGAATGGAGTTTACGTGTGTGGTGTTTCTGTCTTTGCAGGGGTGACGGTGTACTTTGTTTCTCTGCATTGTTCTAGCCTTACAGTATGCAGCAGTCCAAAAGCTAGTCAGTCAGAACCCTTTCAAAGATGTGTTTTAAAAAGTGTCTGAGCAAGGAGGGAATGTACTGCCTCCCTAACGGATGGTCCCGAGGTCACAGCTGGATTCCGGGGTAGTGAGTGTCACCAGAACCTGATCGCCTTCCCTCTCTCAGCTCAGCCCGGAGAGCAAGTTCACGGCTCCGCGAGAGCGGGGATCTCACAGTCACGTCAGCCTCACTAGCTGTACGAGGTGAATGGGGCCCTATGTACGCCCCCTGCCCCCTGCTACCAGGGCTTGATCTACGAAGCAAATCTTGAACCCACACCTGAAAAATGTATAAAAATGTACATAGCGAACAGACACATGCACACAAAAATCATGGAACTGAGGGGTAGCAGGATACAATGCCCCAAACCGCGTCTGTAGGAGCTCAGGGCACACCAGTCCAAAACAAGCCACTTTGGTATAATATTTTGAGCTGTAGGCACTTGAGAAACAGGAAGTACTGGGAGAGGCTCTCACTGCTGAACTCCGTCCGCTTACCTGCCTAAACTAGACGGATCCTCCAAAAGGAACTCAGCTGCCATCAGTCCCCTCCCTGGGAGTTTTGTCAGCCAGGGAAGGCTGACGCTGTCACAGGAGAGGAGACCCGAGGCCCTCCTCACCCCCAGACAATCTTGGCCACAAACCATCAGACCTGCCATCTCTTCCAAGGGCCCATTCATTCACCTTTCCTAACAGTCACTGGCTCTCCCCTAACAGGCCTACTTCCCCTTCCCCTATTAAGATGGAATTTAATCCTGACTTTGAAGTCACCTTGGGGAGTTACTCATTTTTTCCTGGGTTTCTCCCATGTATACCTGAGGGATACATGTCAATAGACTACTGTTTGTTTTTCTCTTGTTAATCTGTCTTTTATCACAGGGGGCTGAGTCAAAGAACTCAGAAGGGCAGAGGGACAATTATTTCCCTCCCCTATGTAACCTATTCTTACAAGCTCTGCGAGGCCCCACTGTCTTTGGTTCTGCCGCAAGCACCTGGCTTGCAAGAGGCACTCTGTGGGGAACCCGTGGAGCCGTGCTCCGGCAAAGGGGCGCGGGGGCCAGAGGCGCACAGACCTGCGGAGCCCGTGTCGAGGGCTGGCCCGTCGGGCTGCCGGGGTTTCTACATTCCATTCACTCGAGGAGTGAGAGGAGAGCGTAGTCTGTCTAGCTAGCTTCCACTGGCCTTCCATGCCACTCATTTCACCGATCAGTTTGCACACGGGGCTTAGCGCACCCCCCTGTGGAGGGTGGGTTTCCGATGAGGGTGCTTCCAGTGCCGGTCAGGAAGCCCCGGGGGGTGCACAGATGCTACTCTGCACACAGACAGTGCCGTCCTCGGGTGGGAACAAGTTAATCACTAAGAGACACTTGGGCGCTCCAGGCTGTGCCAACAACTTGCAGGATCCACGAGTAGCCTCTCGCCTGCAGCCCCTTCAGCCCCCCACCCTCCCAGGTTCAAGTCCAGTGGGAAAGAGCCAGAAAGGCTGCTTCCTCGGTGGCGTGACAGAAATCCTAAACTGGGTTTCAGTGTTTGTTCGTTCCCGAACTGCGTATTTGCCCAGAAATACAATGGGGGTTACTCGCTGCTCCCCAACCCCAGCCAGGGGTGAGGGGCAAGTGAGGGATGCATTTCCAGAAGACAGTTAAGGTCATTTTAAGAAAATAGGATGAAATGCTGCAGGTGGCCAGATGTCCACCTCAACTGTGGAACTTCCCAGCCCCCCAGCGGAGTCGGGAGAGCATCAGTGTGGCTTCCAGAGGGTCCCTGACCTCTGCTCAGTGCGCCACAGAGCAGTTGGCAGCTTCTCTCTCCACCAACACTGGGCTGCACCCAGACACCCTCACCCACAGTCGGTCACCTGCGTCCGTCAGCTGTCACCTGCACCGGCTCACCCAGATGTACGCACTACAGTAGCGGAAGGAAGCATTTTTCTTTCCACGGGCAATCTGTTCCAGTATAAAGGCTGCAGCTCTAACGCCTCTCCCTGTCGGCTGCTGCACTTTCTCTCCCAGCGCTGCGGGCCCAGAATCCTGCCGTGTCACCCATTCCTCCCTCACCTGCCTGGACAGTCAAGGTGTCGCCCACCTGGGCCCTCCTTTCCAGGGGCAGCTCATCCTTCCTGTCGTATCAGTTCTGGCAGGCCCGCGACCCTCCCCTCAGCGTTCCCCGCTCCCAGGCCTCCTGTGTGCCAGTCTCCATGCTGAGGCCCCAGCTGGTCCCACCACGGCCCCCAGATTAATCAAGGGACCCCTCTTCTCACACTCCCAGTGGTTTCCTGCTGTCAGGTGGCCCGCACCCTACCTATCCCAGCTACTCCCCAACCCAGCCCAACCTCAGACCCCGGATGTGCCCAGGTGAGGTGAACCTTTTTGTATCAACACAACTGACTCAGCAAATCTCGTCATTGCCCAAACCTCGTGTGCCCCTCTCCCCCCTCGCTCATATCCCTCACCTGTGAGAGGTGCCTCCTCCACCAACCCAGGTCTAGTCAAATCCCACTTTCCCTCTGAAGCTTCTCCACATCGGTCCAGCTGGCTGTGTCCTCCTGTCGTGGTGATACTCCTCGGCCCCTCCCGCCAAACTGCACTGCGCCCTGTGTGGCGTTACAGTTAGTTTCCAGTCTTGTCGCCTCAGCCGGATGATAAGGCTCTGGAAAGCGAGGATAAGGATGTCTCAGGTTTCTCTGGTCCCAGCGTTCAGCCCAGCACCTTAGTCATTCTTTTTGCACAACAAATTCCTAACAGCGATTCCCTGGAAGCCACTCAGAAAGGATCCACTCTAACCTAGGTAGAGCTGGGTGCAGAGATTTACAAATTCAAACAACGACAATGACAAAAATGGAGATGCAAACCCATCCACCCCTAGAAAAATAGACTTTTTTACAAGAATCAAATTATGTTTGACTAATAATATGATTTACCAAAATATACTAGTATGTGAACTTCTAACAGTAAAAACTTGGCTCAGCATGTGCTTTATTCTTAGTCCTTCCTGCTCACATACACACTTTCCTTCCCTCCAAAACAAAACAAAACAAAAACCCATAACACTTGAAGAAACAGCACCTTGTAGGTCTGAAGCCACCAGACAGAAACGAAGAAGGTGAGTAAGAGTGGATGTCCTGTCCTGCCCAAGGCAGAGGCCTATGTCTGGCGCCAGAGTGTGGGTGCCCCAGGGCTGGCGGCCACCGGAACACAGCTGGCCAGCAGAGGGCACCGGCCCTGGGGCTACTTTGTCCGCTGCACATGGCTAAGTAGGAGTTGTGACAGCTGGTGGTGCGGCTTCCAGAAACCAGTGTAAAACGACAAATGACCACGCCCACAGTGGAATTTTCCATCCCGAGGGCTGGCAGGAGGCAGGGGCTGAGAGAGAATGCATGGTTGTCGTGGACGTAAGTAGCTAGGGCTTGGGAAGTGTGTTAACAGAGCAGCGGAAAACCCAAACACGGTGCTTAGTTACAGTGAGAACGGAAAGAGATGGTCTGCAGACCACGAGCAGCACGGCACACCCGAAATGCAGCTGTGATTTGTATCGTGGCCATTTGGAAATTGTAATGAGCCATGGAATGCGAACCCTTCTCACTGTCCCCACACAGGCACCAGTGAGCAACAGGCAGAGAGTTTGCAGTTGGCAGAGCGCTTTCTCAGACGTTCTCCACAGTATGACAGCATGAACCCCAAAAGGGGTTAGGGGCATCCATGCCCAAGATGACTCAGCTCCTAAGTGGGTGAGGCAGGATTCAAACTCACAACCCCATGTTCCGAGTATTCTGCCATTCAACTCCAAACACTTCCACACGGGCAACAACGACTAGTCTTGGGAAGACATGCGACAGTGAGGAGGCGCCGTGGTCCTCTACTAAAAGCTGACTTGGGGTAGCTTCCTGACTGTGGGATCTTAAGCAAAACCCCACAGCTGGCTTTCAGTCCCACATCTGAGAAATGGAGGAAATGCCCACGGGCCGGCCTCCTTCCGTCACAAACGGCTATGAGATTCAAATCAAAGAATGGGTGGAAAAGGGTGAAGTGTTCTCAGCAGTCTTCTGTAAAATTCTTTGATAGGGCCTGGCCCCTTCCCATCCCCACGGTGGGCATGTGTCCTGCGTGGGACAGAGCACCCAGTGGACCCGTATGCCCCACCCTCTGGTCACACAGTGTCTGGGAACATCTGACCCCTGGCGCTGATGGGACAATGGGTGCCATGGGCCTCGGCCACCAGCCAGCCCTGATTCTGGGCCCGGCCCTTGTGCAGGGGAGTGGAGGGCAGAAGCTGCCCATTGTTCTGCCTAACACCACTCCCATTTGGACATTGGCAGCCCCCACTCATGGCTCCTACCCTTGACCTTCATTTCTTCCAGCGAAGAAAGATGACGCACTGGCTCAGCCTCTCCCACCATTGATATTTTCCTTCCCAGGCTCAATGGGAAGATTGTGGGGTTATTTCCTAAAAAGTAAATGGGAAGGACGTGGCTTGGTCGAATGACAGCCTCCCACAGTGGAAACACTGATGGCATTTCAGGCCTCCACATACTTGAGTAAAGACAGGAAGGGAATGAATGAATAAACCGTGTGGCTATCTGGGGAAATGCTTCTCGGCAGAAGGAGCCACAGGGCAAAGAATGTTGAGGCAGGAGTGTGCGCTTTACCCAGATCCCCCAAACCTCCCCATCGTGCGGAACCAGAGCGCAGTCAGCACACCCAAGAAATGAACATGGGAGCCATAAGACGAACTACCTTACCGAGCACGCTCCCGTTTTACAGGCACGGGGGAAGGTGAGCAGCATCACTAGTCGTCAGGGGAATGCCCATGAACACCACAGGAAGACACCACAGGTGTCAGGGCGGCAGTCACCAAAAAGGCAGGAGATAACAAGTGTTGGCCGG